ACACAAGTATAGATGTGTCCTGCTAATCTGAAAAATGGAGCAGACATAAAGGCCGTGAGGTGGAAGAAGGTAACACAGTTCATCTTGAAATCAACCGCAATAGAACTGGCAGAAAGAAAAAATGGCCAGTGCCAGTGGTGAGGCCTGAAATCCTGGCTGCTCAGGAGGCGGAGATCTGAGGATGGTAGTTTGAAGTCAGCCAGGGAGGGCAATTCCAGGGGCCTCATCTCCAAATAACCACCAGAAAGCTGGAGTGGAGGTATGGCTCACATGATAAGAGCAACCAAAGCTGAGGGACAGTGCACCGGCCCTGAGTTCAAGCCCCAGGACTGGCACCCCCCAAATCCCAAAATGCAGAAGAAGGTTAAGAGGGGAGAAAATCAACCCTGTGAGTGTGAGGAACATCAATCAAGGTCACAAACTAATGACTTCTTCAGAAAAAAAAAAAAGACACTTAATAATTAACAAAAAACATTAAACCTGGCCAAGATAACTCTGGAGCCATGCAGATTACTTTCTTGAGTCCTGACAGGCAACCTCCAGAGCTCAGACCGCCTTCGAGCCGCTGGATGGCCTGGTCTGACTCAGGCACGCAGCCAAGGCTTTAGTTCAACAGGCACTCAGTGGCAGCAACAGCCACATAGGACCACAGGACACTCCACCACTGCTGCCCCCTACAGCCCCCATCTGACCACGCTCCACCCCTGCAGCCCCCATCTGACCACACTCCACCCCTGCAGCCCTCATCTGACCACGCTCCACCCCTGCAGCCCCCTGCAGCCCCCATCTGACCACACTCCACCCCTGCAGCCCTCATCTGACCACGCTCCACCCCTGCAGCCCCCTACAGCCCTCATCTGACTACAATCCACCCCCGCAGCCCCCTACAGCCCCCATCTGACCACACTCCACCCTTGCAGCCCTCACCTGACCACACTCCACCCCTACAGCCCTCATCTGACCACACTCCACCCCTGCAGCCCCCATCTGACCACGCTCCACCCCTGCAGCCCCCTGCAGCCCTCACCTGACCACATTCCACCCCTGTAGCTCCTGCTCAGCCTTGGATCAAGGCTATTGCTCTCAAATGTATCGGGACAGATCAAATAACATGTGTGCCGGCGGCCACGATCACAGTAGTATACCTTAATATTAAAATAACCATCTTTGTAGACACTAGTGCTTCCCTATAACTTTTTATTTTAACCATTTAAAGAGAAACAAGAAAATTTAAAATATAGTCTTGTCCGAAAGGATTTATTTCCCTTTCATTAGAAACGATTAGTAATCCTAGGCTGGTTCTAGCCAACATCTCAAGATACTATCAGAAAAAAAAAAAAAAAGCCAGCTACAGGCAAAAGACACTGAGCGTGTAGCTGAGAGCTAGGCTCCTATCGAACCAGCCCAGGCTGAGTTCAAACATCAGCACAAAACGGCAACAAAACCCAAAGATCAATGGCCGTAACAGGGCATAGTCATCTGGCGATGCCTTATGCTAGCTACCTTGGGCTGTACTGCTTAAGCCACGTCCCTGCCCACCTTTGCCCCAGTTATTTTTCTGATAGGCTCTTGGATTTTTGCCCAGAGCTAGTCTCAGTCCTCCTATTTATGGCCTCTCCCCACAGTGAGGCACAGGGGTGCACACAGCCACGCCTGGCTTAGCGATACAAATTGCTGATTGCTCTTGCTATTAAGTCACAATCTAAACCTTACCTAAGAGTTTACAGGCTAGAACATTTAAATTAAATAACAACTGCACCTACGCAATCTTAAACATAAGACCTTCTCAACTATTTCTATGAATAAGTATAGCTGAAGTATGATAACAAATAACTCAAGTATATGTTTAAAAGTAGCTCATGTTAACTGGCAAATATACTCTATTGAGAACTTGAATGATGAGAGATTTGATCAACTGCAAATATTATTCAAATGGATGAAAACTTCATTTTCTGCTGTTGGTACAACTTCTTAAAAATAAACACTATAAGGAGAAAACACAAGCAAGTATGTCTCCAGCTGCAGTTAATTCTAGGGATGAGATTATTTGTACAGAGAACTGAGCTACCCATGTGTTTTTAAGTAGTAATGGTTTCTGTGGCTATACAATAAAAAATGGTAGTCTGCCAGCTGGCGTGACAAAACTCCCTCGGAATATATTACTAAAATAATGGCAGAATTGTGGGAGTGAAGATGGCCCAAAATGCAACATGAGAAGCGAGGTGGCTTCCAGCTCACATGCAACTGCAGACCAAGTTCTAAGAAAGAGAAGTATCTCTGTTTTGGCATGAAATAAAAACGCAAGGGCTTCATCAAATTAAATCAACAAAAACACTTAAGAAATTTTAAAGCCATAGTGGAACTATCCTAACATCATCTATATCCCAGGGCTTCCTAGCTGATAGGAATGACCGTAAAAGAAAGATGAGCAGTGACATTAGAGAGCTTAGTTACATGGCAAGGTCGGAGGAGTGAGTGGCTTTTGAACTTGGGGCCTTGTGCTTGGTGAGCAGGAGTCTGCCCGTTAAGACTGTACCACTAGCCTTTTGTGTGTTTGTTTGTTTTGCTTCGGTTATTTTTGAGACAGGGTCTTATGATTGTGCCTGTTTTTGCTTTATTTTTTTATTTTTGGTGTTGGTAGCGGGGCTTGAACTCAAGACTTGGGTGCTATACCTTGGCTTTTTTCACTCAAGGTTAACCCTCCATACTGCTTAAGACCCAGCTCCACTTTTGGCTTTTGGGTAGTTAATTGGAGATAAGAGTCTCGTGATATTTCCTGTGTAGGCTGGCTTTGAACTGCGATCTTCAGATCTCAGCCTGCTGAGTGGCTAGGTGTGAGCCACCAGTGCCCAGCAAAAGGCAATTAAAAAAAAAGTGGGAAACTTTAGAACAAACTAGGAGACATGGAAGTACCTAAAGATCTTTATGAGACTTTATCAGAAATACAGACATTTCATGAATGTCATTTCAAATATAATACAACTAAACAAGAGGCAGAATATAATCAGGCTCTTAAAATAACAAAACAGCCAGGTGCTGGTGACTCATGTCTGTAATCCTGGCTACTCAGGAGGCTGAGATCTGAGGATCACAGTTTAAAGCCAACCAGCCTGGTCAGGGAAGTCTAATGAACCACCAGAAACCCAGAAGTAGTGCTGTGGCTTAAAATGGTAGAGTGCTAGCCTTGAGCTAAAGAACTCAGGGACAGCACCCAGGCCCTGAGTTCAAGTCCCATAACAACCTCTCTCCTTTAAAAAAAAAGTGGAAAGATGAATAGATAAATTATCGGTATCAAGACTGTGCAGATACAGACAGTAAGTACTATTTGCCCCTTTAGAAATGGCCAGCATGATGTCACATGACACCACAGAAGGTCGATGGGCCTCTCCCTGTACTCCACTGCTCTGCTCACACCCGTCAGATGGGCCATCGCCATAAGGACGCGCTCATTCACTGTCTACGGGGCCACAGCCCTTCCTGCCGTATGAATTACTAACAACAGAGGTCAGCTGAAATGAATGTCTGAAAACCTACTGTAGAGGAGGAAGGCTGACAGAAATAACTTTTTAAATAAGAATACTCTCAAGTAAGAAAAATATTTACTAGTGTGAAGACAACTACTGTAAGTCTAATATGAATGTTAGCAATATTGTTTATACTAGTGAGATACATTGTTTATTTTAATGTCAGAGTTTCCATCTGTCATATCGCATGTGCAACATCTTTACCAATTCAGAGTCCTTAAAAAACAGACCACTTCAGGAGTTGGTTTTTGTTTTTTACCAGGGCTTTTCATTGTGCTTTAAAAAAAAAAAAAAAAAAACCAAGCATCCCCAGATGCTGGGACTCAAACCCAGGTCCCAAGGATGTGAAGCTCATGCCCAGCTCCATATAAGGCATCCAACATGCTTTTGAGTCAGTGTTGTCACCATTTTCTCTGGCACTTTCTTAAGTCTAGATTAATCAATAAAATGATCAACAAAACCCTGGTTTGCCCATTCTTGTAGTGCACATTCTCTTCTTGCCATTGTGTTACCATTGGTGTTGAACTGGGCAGATGCGTGGCATGATGAGTAGTAAAATTAAAATAGGAAAGGAAAAGAAAATAATAGTGGGAGTCTCTGTTTGGAAGGAGAAAAGAAGGGAAACTTTTTTTTTTTTTGGTCCGGTTGTGGGACCTGAACTCTGGGCCTGAGCACTGTCCCTCAGCTCTTCAGCTCAAGGCTAGCGCTCTACCACTTGAGCCACAGCGCCACTTCTGGCTTTTTTCTTTTTGCTTATATGGTGCTGAGGAATCGAACCCAGGGCCTCATGCATGCAAGGCAAGCGCTCTACCTCTGAGCCAACTTCCCAGCCCAAGAAGGGAAACTTTTATAGTTGGTTCTTAGCCTAGAACCAAAGGCTAACTCGGTTCGATGAGAATATGGCACTACACTTTAAACAAATACTGTAATTAAATGGGAAGTTCGGGAACTGATTGGATTCCCTGGTTCTTGCTTTATTCTGGACCTTTGGACTTAGGACTTAGCCACTGATGCTAGTCCCTCCCTCCCTTTCCCTCGCCCTGCCCTCCTTCTTCTCTGAGCCCAGAAGTGTCAGAAAGTAGCACAGATGCCAAGACAAAGTGGTATCAGGAGCCAGGGAGGGGCGCAGATGCCAGCAAATGTTTAAAGGAACGGCCTCTGCCCCCCTGACCACAGCCATGCATCCCAACAGCCAGGACTCTCCAGAAATTCTCATACGAACCAGAGTCCTCAGGATGGCCACGGAGAACTCTTTGAGGGGCTGACATGTGACGAGGCTGCTTGGCCAGCCAGGGTCAGGAGCAGAGAGGACAGACAGACGCACACATGCACTTCCATTCACATTGTGTCTAACTATTAAACCATACTGTAGCAAAAGAGGAGGGTTGTTTTTTTTTTTTAAGTAATTATCTTGTTAGTGTATCTTTAGGTTGTTAAAGTTCAGCCCAAGAACAGAGGAAATAAAGATAGACGTACTTGGAAGAAACCGCCTCCATGAATTCATCCAAAAAGTTGTCGTAATCTGGGCCTCTCACTCTTTTCTGCCGGAGTCCAATGTACAGTGGATCTTTAAGTAATGCCTGTTGCAACAAGAGAGAAAGAACAGAGATAATCACAAGCAAGTTCTCCCTTAGCTCGTTTCTGTATCTATAGAAAAGGAACAAAAAACAAAAAATCCTTTTTTTTTTTTTTTTAAACTCAAGGTGTAGCCCAGGCTTGTCTCAAACTCAAGACTCTCCTGCCTCATTCTTCCCATTGGTCACCGGCATGTGCCACCATGGGAGGCAAAAGTCAATCCTGACAAAATGATTTACAGTTAACTCAGTTACTACTTAATGTCATTTATATTACATCTAGGGTGCATATATATACAAATATGCACACATGCAACATGTTATACACAGACATGTATAGTATATATAAGATAGCTATATTACCGTCAAAAATTCTGAATTATTTTGAGTAAAAGGAAAGGAATTATGATCTCTCAGTGGTGCTAATTAGAAAAACTATCAACTCAGATTTTACACATGAAAACATAATTAAGTCTAAAGTACTATATCAGCTTAGAAATGGAAAGGGTAATTCTCTTCTTTTTTCCACTTGCAAAAGCAAAATTTTCAGAAAGCATTTAGATTTTCTCTCTACTATAACTGATTTTAAAAAGAAAATTTTAACTTTGACAAGATTTTTATTTTTTTAAACTTTCCAGTTTCCTTCCTCTCTCCCTCCCTTCCTCCCTCATTTCTTCCCTTCCTTCCTTCCTCCCTCCCTCCCATCTCCCCTCTCCCTCCCTTTTTGAGGTAGCAGAGATTGAACTCAGCACCGTGTGCTTACCAGGCAGGTGCTCTTCCACTTAAGTCACACCCTAGGCCTTTTTGCTTTGGTTATTTTTGAGGTCTTGAACCAGCACTCTCCCTATCTCCACTTCCAACCAAGTTGCTGGGATTACAGGCATAAGCCACAGTGCCAGGCTTAAGGTGTTTCTTAAAACTGCTGTGTCTCAGACAATGTTATTCTGTTCAGGTTTTAATATATACAATTTGATATTATTTTAATACACCAGCTTGTGAGGTGTAACTTATTTATAAGAAAGAACCCCCATTCACAACAAAATCTTTTAGTAAACTGGAACAAAAATGTGCATAATCAACTCAGTAGAGGGGATCTGCACACAACCCACCGTTCCCATCATAGCTAGCAGTAGGGGGGGGAAAAGCAAAGCATAGACTGTCCTCCTCACCTCGGAGGCTGTCACCATGACGACCACACAGGAAGGAGAAAGTGGGAGGGAGTAGGAAGGGAAGATGAACCAAAGCCAAGAACAAAGGTCACACAACTGCCTTTACATACTTGTAGTGGATAGTTGAAAATGGAATAAATACATGCAACTCCATTCCTAACAGCCTTCCGAGTTTCCACACCCACCACCATAGTCTGTTCTGAAAAGGACTGTGAGAGCCGTCTGTGTCCAGCAGGGCTGACCACGCTGGGCACACACTGGGGCCTAAAAGGCCAGCGGGGCGCTTGGCTCCTAGGCGGAGGAGGACAGAGACACAGAAATGGAAAAGGCCACTCTGGACCCTAGACTGCCCACAGGCGGGAAGCAGCCAAAGAAAGGGAAGGAGAAGGGCACTTCGGAGGACAGAGCCAGGAGGTCAGGGCAGACCCCAAAACTAGCACAATGATCTTCGGAGACCCACCGAGGAAACAGAAGGAGCCCCAGAGACAAACGGGGCCTTGATCAAAGCAGGCAGTGGGAACTCCCAATGGCAGGGAATCAGAGCTGACTGACCTCCAGCACACAAGACCAAAACATTCCTGTAAAAGAGGAATCTGTACAGCTTTGGAGGTGTGGTGCTGTCAACCAGGTCCATGTGTCTGGATCATCTGAGAGTAGGGTTTACTACTCCCAGCCAATAGAAAGCCCAGCCATGTTCTCCCATTGTAAGTGTTCAATGGCCTTCTCATTCCTTGTGAAATTCTCTGGGTTACTTGTGTTCTGCATCATGAGGGGAGAAGCCTTCTAGCTAGTGAGATGTGAACATGGCAAGTCACAGAAGTATATTTCAGCTAAAATATAGTTTATGACCAAGTGTGGTAAAAACCAGCTACTCCTTAAGGCATTAAAAAAGAAAAAGGTTAAAAAAAATGTATTGGCAGGCTTCTGAGCTGCTGAGGTTGAAGTGCCAATATGCTACTGATGGCTGCCAACGTTAAAATACTTTCTCCCTGTCTGGAATATATTTAGACTTCTAAATGAATTAGAGAAAGAACACAGTTGAGGGAAAAATGTCACATTTTTCTCCCATTCTTTCCCATGCTAATGAAGTCTAGACTACCCAGAAGTCTAGCTACCATGTAAATTTCAACTTACAAAATTTATGAACAAGATAAGCTTTTGAATTGAATCAGAAACCTGTAACATTCCTTCAGTAAGTGTCCCTGCCAAAAAGGACTTCTTCAAAAATCTAACAAGATTAAGAAAAATAAGACAGGACTTAAAAACTGAGAGCATTCTTATAAATGCTGAAATATATATATATATATATATTATATATATATATAGTAATTCAATAAGATTACTCAATTTTTATAATGGCTTCACAGACTAAGCAGTCTGGCACCTGAGGAAGAAGTTTAATTAAGTAGAACAACTTTTTTGGCATGACTGGGGATTGAAGCCAATACACAGTGAACGTCAGGCAAGCAAGTTCTCTTCCATGTGAGCCATGAGCCCCGCTCCTGAGCATATAATAAAAGGAATGCTAGTCAACATACAGCATCAACACCCGCACCACACATTACACTGTAACAGCTCTGCTCACAAGGCCTGACTACAGAATCAGCCAGTGCTCCCATAACTGAGGAATGAGTAAAGAAGTATATATGCTGAAGACATAATGGATATTATGTGTGTATACACGATTTTATTCAGCCATGAAGCATAAACTTGTGTCATTTGCAAATGGACAGAACTGGAGAGCATCGTGTTTGGCAAAATAAGCCAAATTCAAAATGACACACATCAATCAACCATGTCTTCTATCACATATGGGATTTAGATCCAACACAAGGAAAAGTGACAAGAATGTACACTGGGGAGGAAGGGCAGAAGGGTGGAAGGAAAGGGTGCTGGGTAAATATGAATGAAGTAATTTATACACATGAATGAAAGCAGGACAACGAGACCCATTGAAAATTGTCTAAAAGAGGCAGAAGCAAGGAGGGAGTAGGGGGTGGATTGGATCGAGCTACATTCTAGGGCAGTCTTATACTCGCGCTTCTCTTTTCCGTTGGCCCCTACTTCAGCCCTGTTCTTGCTAGCGCTTCCACCGGTGAGACTCTTGTGAGAACCTGGAACGCCCCCCACATGTGGACCAGGGACAGTGACAAAACCCAGCCAGCGGGAGCAAGGAGTTTAGTCTCACAGGTGTGGAAGGCATCTGTTGAGCTCTGGAGCTGCCTTTCTCTCCATCTCTGTTTTTGTCTGACTTCTTTTGTGGGTAATTAACCTTTTGTGTGCCTCCTAAGATGGCGGGGCACTGGTGGTGTTGATGGAGACATAAGTCTGCCCCTTTCCCCAGGCGCGCGTGCCTCCTGCCTGTGATCTACCCAGGAGGCTGAGATATCAGGACCATGGTTCAAAGCCAGTCTTGACAGGAAAGTCCTTACGACTCTTATCTCCAATTAACCACCAAAAAGCCAGAAATGGCAGAGTGCTAGCTTTAAGTGAAAAAACTCAACAGTGCCCAGGCCTGAGTTCAAGACCTAGGACTGGCTGGCGTGCGCACGCGCACGCGCACACACACACACACACACACACACACACAAGAATGGATATCCTGGGCCTATTCTCTTTGTTCCCTGTTTGTTTTAAAGGTACCTAGGCAACTGGACCCCCCAGCCTGCCTAGAGGGTCGGCAGCCTCAGAGGTGGAGGGTCGGGAAGATGCAGTAATTAAGGTAGGACGCTCTCAGCCAGATCACTACCTGTTTCTTAATCCTTAATATGGAAGGAGATTTAAGGGTACTGGGTTCAGGGTTCATATGAAAGGAACTCAGAAGGGCGGGGTGTCTCTGGGGCCTCCAAAGCATCAAGGTAGCTGGGAACCTCTCCATTTTCTTGCACTCTCTTCCTTCTTTCCCTCAAGGCATAAAGGAAATGAAGATGGGAACTGTGGTTAGCAAACCAGGGGACCTGTGCACACATGAGGGACTTCCAGGAAAAGAAATGCGTCACATGGATTCAGTATGTCAGATGATGGAAAATCCGAGCTCTAAGTGGGAGCGTTGATTTTAATACTATTCTCCGGCGAGATTTATTGTGTAAATGCCAGCAAGAGCAATCTCAAATTCCATAAATCCAGCTTTTTTTCTGATGGCAGAAATATTACATTGCAAAGAAGACTCTGGAATCCTTTTCAGAGGGTGCTGGGAAATTGTTAGATGGATGTACTATCACTGCCATTACTTTTTACCTCAGATGGCAGGTCTTGAGATGTTCTGTTCTCAGTCTGGTGAATTCTAACACTCTACCACTTGGGCCACACCTCCAGCCCTTTTTTTGGCTTGTTTTTCTAAGAGGGTTTTGCTTTTGCCTGGGTTAACAGTCTAGTTAGTGATCCTCCTAACTGAGCCACTGAGATCTTCTCAACAGATTATGGCCTTTGAACAAGGCACTGATTGATTCCTCAATACTAACTGTATCCTGCCCCTACCCCTGCCCCTAACCCAGTGAATGACAGCACAGAATTCCCAGTCCACACAAACCGAGAGGCGACTGAAGTTCAGCTCACATTGTAGCATCCCATTTGAAATGTTTGGGCTGTAGTGTATATGTTTGACTAGATCAGGATCCTTAAAGGGGAAAGAACCACCTTATGTTCAGCACCTGTCATTGGTTTAGAAAACAAAACTTAGACTGTTTAAAATGTCACAGAAGAAGAAATTTGGAGGTGAATGGCAGAATGAGACACCGAGTACATCTCTACAAGGCAATGTGTTTCATTAAGAAAAAAGCAGCAATGAAAAACTCTAAGACAGCTGGTCAACTTGACAATTTTAAGGCCTATATGCTGAGTCATTGTTTCCTACAACTAATACAATCTGTGACTGGACTCAGCAGCTCCTGCCTGTAATCCCAGCTGCTCAGGAAACAGAGATCTGAGACTCACAGTTTGAAGCCAGAGGGAGCAGAAAAGTCTGTGAGGCTCTTATGACCTATCAACCACCAAAAAACCAGAAGTACAGCTATGGCTCAGTGGTAGAGCACTAGCATTGATCACAGAAGCTCAGGGACAGCACCCAGGCCCCAAGTTCAAACCCCAAGACCAGTACCCCCCCAAAAAAAATTCACCGGTGCACAACTTTTTCCACCCCTACATTAAACTGACAATCTCTCAGAAGAGGCCCAGGTTTAAAGCTGAATTGTTGAAAAAGATTTACATGCTGGGCTGGGAAGGTGGCTCAGTGGTAGAGTGCTTGCCTTGCATGCATAAGGCCCTGGGTTCGATTCCTCAGCACCACATAAACAGAAAAAGCCAGAAGTGGCGCTGTGGCTCAAGCAGTAGAGCGCTCGCCTTGAGCTGAAGAGCTGAGGGACAGCATCCAGGCCCAGAGTTCAGGCCCCCACGACCAGCAAAAAAAAAAAAAAAAAAGATTTACATGCTGATCTGATGACTCTTCATTCCTAGGATTTGCAAGGTGTATTATTGAATTTGTGACATCTTTTTTTAACTGATTTGACATCGAGGTAACTTATCATGAAACAATGTTTTAAAATAAATGAAAAATGAAGAAGTTTTCATGCTCAATGTACCTATGACTTATTTAGAAGAACTGTTTAAAAAAATCAGCCTTGATCATTTCGGAACCATTTCTATCAATACTGATCAGGAAAAAAACATGAGACACACACAGGCCCTGAGCTCAAGCCCAAGTATAGGGGCTTGAAAAGAAAAGAAACATAATCACATTACAGAGGAGAGCAATGAGAACAGAGAACATCATGTTTAGTGGGGTTGGGTAGCACACACCTGTAACCTCAGTTACTTAGAAGGTGGTTGGCAGGAAGATCAACTAGGGTGAAGTTAGCCAGCCCTATCTCAAAAAGAAAATAAATATTGAAAGAAATTAAATAAAATACACAACCAAAAAGGGCTGGGTGGAGAGTGCTTGCCCAGCATGGGCAAGGCCGGGCTGATTAATTAATTAACTAATAATGTTCTTATCAAAGTTGGAGAGAGATGTGTGTGAGAGAGAGACACACACACACAGAAAAGAACAAACTCTAGGGAAGTTCACGGAATAACTTAGAGACACGGGTGAGCACGCCAGCATGGGTGGTGGTGTTCAGAGGCATCCGGGACACACTCACCTCGTTCTGTGTGCCCACGTCCAGCAGCACGGGCAGGCACTGCTGCGGGTTGACACCCCCGCAGGCTGTGTACAGTGCCAGCTTGCCCACGGGGATGCCCATGCCGTTGCAGCCCAGGTCACCCAGGCCCAGGATGCGCTCCCCGTCCGTCACCACCACAGCCTGCAAAAGAACACAACCGCCCGTGTGGATGGCACGCACACGCTCAGACCCGGCTTCCCGGGCTCCAGGCTGCAGCTCGTTAACGCGCATGCAACTGAAATACCAGGCCGCCAGACAACACAGCGAGAACATCTTTGGGAAAGACTGTATACTGGTTGTTGTAGAAGAATGGGGAAAAAGAAGTAGATTTATATAATATATATTTTACGTATTACACTTATTTAACGTATTCTTTTGTGCTGGCCCTGAGCGTTTTTTGCCCAAGGCTAGCACTATACCACTTGAGCCACAGCTTCACTTCTGGCTTTTCGCTGGTTAACTGGAGATGAGAGGCTCATGGACTTTGCTGTCTGAGCTGGCTTTGAGCCTTGATTCTTGGTTCTCAGCCACCTGAGTAGCTAGGATTACGGGCATGATCCACCAGCACCTGGAGGTTTATATATTTTAATGATGAGCTCTACATGCTTAATTAGGTCACTGTCAAAAGAAGAACGTGAACACATAAAGATTCAAACAGCTCAAAACCTTAGTCTTCAATCCAGGTGGGCAAAAGGGAAATAAGAGCTCATGCTGGGAACCAAAGAAGCATCAGGTGGCTTGAGTGCACTCACCTGGCCCTGAGATCCCGCATGGATGGCAGTAGCCGCAGGACTGGCAGACTGAGGGCCTCTGCTCTCTAACTCCTGCAATCTCCTGGTCCTGTCTCACTCTTGGATACTTAGCACTGCTTCTACCACCATCATCTGCTACCTGCTCATCTTCCACTACACTTCACAGATTTGTGTGGCCTCTTTCATTTTTTGCACGGGAAGCAGTACTGGCATTTTTGAACTCAGCTCCTCGCACTTGTTAGGCAAGTGCTCTACCACTCAGCCATGCCTCCAGAACCCTCCCTTTTTTTTGCTTTTATTTTTCAGAATGAGTCTCATGCTTTTTACTCAAACATGACTTGGGCAATGTTTCCACTTGCCAAGTTGTTGGGCTTACAGCCCTGAGCCACTACTCTTACCCTATTTAGCTGATTTCTAACCACCCTGAATAATTACAAAGCCTATTATTTCAATCATGCAGAGATTTTAGCCTTAATTGTAACTGTCTAATAATCCGATCTATTGCACATGGTTTTGACTAAGCATAGTCAAAAATGGAATACATTTTTCTTAAATCAAAATGCTTCACAACAGCAATTTCAAGTTCTTCTGCACACATCACTCTGCTCAACTGATGTGGTCAAACTCAGCCAGTTCTACTATTGTCTTGTGTGTTCAAATCCTATGTGATCTGCTAAAAATCTACCCTTAGTTTCATGAAAATATGCCTCCCCAAAATGAATGGTGCTCAAAAAGCAAGCTAAAAAGGGGACATTCATGTGTGTGCTTTAAACAACACTGTGAAATGTTTAGATTCGTTGAGAGGAAGCCCATCTCAGGTGGAAGCTAGGTGGCTTTATCTGGAAATGAATTGAGCCCCCACCCTGCAGGACTGTGCTACTCTACGTGTTCTGAGAGTCCAGGTTTTACCCTGTGGAGCCTCATGGAATGTGGACTGCCAGGGTCCGCTATACACTTGAGCATCATTGTTAGAACCAATGCATCTGACATCTTCATTCTGTGATTCACAGTCCCTTTGTGAGTTGATGAGAAACAACTTAGCAGATGATCTACAAAGTGCTGCGACTCAAACAATCCATGGGATGATAGCAGCTCTTTGGCCTTGGATAGAGCTGTGAATTTAAGTGTGCTTCTTGTAAAAAAGAGGCTAATAACTATCCTTTTCAGAGTTGCTGGATCAAACTAGGAATCCACCGTGTATTGCTTACTACCAGATATTGGCACCTTGCACATGGTAAATGAGAGATAAATACTAGTCAGCTGGGTAAATCCACTATTCCATGAAGTGAACTTATGCTGTACTTGATACCTGGCACGTTTCAAAGTCTACAGTCAATTGTGGCTGCTAATACTATCACCATCACTTCCCAGATCTAATGTGCACAGGCGCACAGGGCTTTAGAAGGCAGATCGGGAGCAGATCCATTCTGCTCCTCTGATGCCACAGAATAGGAAATGGAGATCAGAAAGCTGAAATCATTCATCTAATGGTGAGTGATGTACTTAATATCAAAGAGGAGAACCTGGCTACGTTAACTGAGTCAAGCACTCTACAGCATGCATACCGCTGAAGGTACAGGGGCTTGAAGTCAAGGCCTCAGACTCGCTCATGACTTTTTTTTTTTTCTCACAGCTGGTGCTTTCCCACTGGAACCACACCTCCACTTCTGATTTTTGCTGATTATCTGGAGATAAGAGTCTTTTGGATTTGTCTGCCAAGGCTGGCTTTGAACCTAGATTGTTAGATCCTAGCATCCTAAGTAGCTAAGAATATAGGCAAGAGTCACAAACACCCAGCTATTTTAAAACACATTTTTGAGATCTTTTCCTTTAATTTTCTGATTACCTATATTATAAAGCTCTTTAAAACTTGCCTTGAAAGTAAATTTAGTTGGAAGGCTGAGAATGAGAAGATCATGGTTCGAGGCCAGAGTAGAAAAGTCTGGAAGGTGGCTCAGTGATAGAGTGCTTGCCTAGCATGCATGAAGCCCTGGGTTTGATTCCTCAGCACCACATAAACAGAAAAAAACAGAAGTGGTGCTGTGGTTCAAGTGGCAGAGTGCTATCCTTGAGCAAAAGAAGCTCAGGGACAGTGCCCAGGCTCTGAGTTCAAGCCCCAGGACAGGCAAAAACTAAATTAATAATAATACATTATGAAAAAACAGGCACTTTTCACTGGAAAGACTAGTGAATGCTGCTTGCTCTATTAAGAATCATCGCTGTGATTTAAACTGTTCCATGGGACAGAAGGACAAGAGATGGCCTCCGTGGAGCTGGGCGCCGCCTCACCTTGATGACGTCTTCCGGCCAGGCGTTGAGAACCGAAGCAATGTGACCCTGGTCATGAATGCTGATGAAGAGGCCTCTGTGGAGAGAAGGGAGGCGTTGTCATTCACTTCCCACCTTCAAATTCACAAACACTTACTTGTTCTCTTATTTGGTTTTCTTGGTGCCAGTCCTGGGGCTTGAACTCGGGGCCTGGGTGTTGTCCCTGAGCTTTCTTTACTCAAGACTAGCACTCTACCACTTGAGCCACAGCTTCTCTTCTGGCTTTTCAGTGGTTAATTGGAGGTTAAGAGGCTCAGGGACTTTCCTTTTTAACTGCAACCCTCAAATCTCAGTCTCCTAAATGCTAGGATTGTAGTTGTGCGTCACCAGCACGCAGCTACATTTACTTATTTCAAAATAATATTAATATACCTCTATGGTTACTAAACTGGGAAAAACCATTTCCTTACATAAAGGTTAGGACTCCTCCAGGGAATGAAGAAATGAAACAATGCATTGACATCCACAGTGAAGATCAGCTTATTTTTATGTTAGGTAGTTTAAAATAATATGAGTAATGAACTCACTATTTTTAAAGATGGACTATAAAGAACCTTACAACTCCTTTCATAGTCACCTACTCTTGGATTAAATGAGATAATGTATGTGAAAGCACTGTGAAAACTGAGCAGATGAGCCCAGGAGTGGGCACTGTATGCAGCAGAACACAGAAAATGAGTGCATCCTTTGGGAGGAGTTCACTAGGTTTTGTTTTGTTTTGTTTTGAACCTGTGGCTCAAGCTGTTTACTCCAATTCTATTAATTAAACTCAACTGATGTCTTTAACACATCTGCCTACTCCATTTCTTACAAAAGCCTAACGAGTAACTTTATACCTTAAAAAAATTAAATACTTTAAATCTTCACATAAAATTTGTTGGTGGTTTTTGTTTTTCCCAGTACTGGGGCTTGAACTCAGGGCGCCCTGGTGCTCGAGGCTAGGGCTCCACCACTTGAGGCACAGCTCCACATCTAGCTTTTGAGTGGTTCATTGGAGATAAGAATCTCATCATGGACTTTTCTGCCCAGACTGGCTTTGAATGGTGATGCTCAGCTCTCAGCCTCCTGAGTAGCTAGGATGACAGCTAGCTGGCCAGAGTGGAAGTCTGGAAGATGGCCTGTCCAGGTTTTTGTTTGTTTGTTTGGGAGTTGTTTTTTTTTTTTTTTTGGTACAGGAGATTGAACCCAGGACATTGCCTTTGATAGGCAAAAGCTTTGCCTATCAAAGTCCCACGTAAAAGTTTCATTTTAGCATTGTTATAACTCAAAAAGTCCACATATAACAAAAGTCTAGCTTGATGAACTATTATACTCACCTTCCCATGTCATATCAATTTAAACAGAGAATCTTGCCAGTTACCTAGAACCCAGAAATGTCTTATTCCCTCCTAAGAGTCATCTGACTTCTATCATGTCACTTCTTTTCCAGGTATTTATCATTTGATTACCCAAATCTGACACTATCCCTAGGTGCTCTTCTGTGTCATTCGGTCAGTTTTCAACTCTCATCTTAGTTGACTTCTCAACTATATTGCCCATTGTTGACCTGGCCTCTCAAAGTGGTCCTCCTCTTCTTCCTCCCTTCTCCCCCACCCCCTCCTCCTCCTCTTCCTCCTTCTCCTCCATGATAAACCTCATCAACACCAAGCTCATGACACTGATCCCCAACTTCGTGATCACCCCTGGGCCCCAAAACACATTTCCCTTTCCCTTTTCCCTTCCTCCCTTCCTTTCCTTTCCTTCTTTCCTTCCTCCCTCCCTTCCTCCTTCCTTCTTCCTTTCTTTCCTTCCCCTCTCCCTCCCCCTTCCTTCCTTCCTTCTTTCCTCCTTTCCTTCCTTCTTTCCTTCCTTCCCTCCCTCCCTTCTTTCCTTCCTTCCTTCTCTCCCTCCCTCTCTCTCTTCCTTTCCTCCCTCCCTTCTTTCCTGCCCTCCCCACCTCCCTCTCTCTCTTTCTTTTTTATCATTCAGGCTTCAGTTCCTTAAATCCTTAAACAGGACTTCTCTAACATTGTCATCTTCATGTTTATAGAGCTATGGAAAATTACTCTATTTACCTGTCCACTCTTCAGTACAGATGCACACACAAAGCATGATTTTGCTCACATTTTGTAACCCCACGCCTGTCCATGTTCTAGCATGGGAGAACTTTTTACATATTTTTGCCTGAGCTGGTCTTGCTCCAGGATCCTCCCAACCTCTGCTCCCAAGAAGCTAGGATGGCAGACTGAAGCTATTACACACAGCTTCCTCGCGACATATGAAAGAAATAACGGCACATTATGCACGATGTTCTTGGCAATATATGATGAGCAATATTGGCAATAGGCTATCGAAGGATATCTGAGGAAATGGTGAGTTAGCCAAGGTTTTCCAAGTATCTAGTCTCAGGAGACAGAATCATGTTTAGATGAATGACAATGAATAGTGCCAAAGATCAACGCTAATTTTGGCAAGATTTATTACAAGCAGATCTGAGCTCAGCTTCTATGGAGGCGCCATTTGGCTACCTTGCATCTCCTAGACTGAGGAGAGATTCATTCATGACAAACGCCTGTTCTTCAAAAGAGCTCAGTGGAGGGCTAGTCTGTAATGTCACGCACCTGAACTCACACTGAGGGGAATTTGCACACTTACTGGAATGTCTCCCTGATTAGAAATATAATGAGATTTCAAGTGTCTTAGCATAGAAGTGGCTCACATTTTTTAAATCTAGAATTAGAGATGAAACATTAACACACACACACACACACACACACACACACACACATACACACACGACTGAACAAAAATTTACACACAAAAAAGTTACATGCCAGGCATGGGTGGCTCATGCCTATAGTCCTAGCTACTCAGAAGCTAAGATCTGAGGATCATGTTTGGAAGCCACCATGGTAATATTTGAAGTGTATTACATAGCCCATTGAAAAGCCTTATATTATGTTTATTTCATGTGAGAATTAGGACAATATCAAAATGTGGATCTTTTTTTTTCTTATATTGTAGTTCAAACTTTTCTCATAACCTCTACACTCTATTTCATTCTCAAAACAGATTTGGAAGATAATGTTCATCTTTCTTCATGCTGTCTCCATAACACTACCAACACGTTTTATAACAAAAGCAAATTCACTGAATAACACAGAACATTCTATTGTAACCAAAATTATTTCCACTTCGAAATGAGTTTTTAAGCCTTCTCCTGGGACCGTGGAGAAGGCAGTGGGTCTTCAGTGTTCTGTAACAACGCTCCCTTTCCCTACCCAAGCTGACTCCACTATATTCTGAAATTAAAAATGATGCCAGCGGCACCAAAGGGCACCAGCAGCTCACACCTGTCATCCTAGCTACTCAAGACGCTGAGATCTGAGGACCATGGTTCAAAGCCAGCCTGGGCAAGAAAGTTCTTGAAATCCTATCTCCAATTCAACACCAAAAAAAAAAAAAAAAACCCAAAAAAACAAAAAACAAAAACCAGAAATGGAACTGTGGCTCAGGTGGTAGAGCACTAGCCTTGTGCACAAAAGCTCAGGGACAGTGCCCAGGCACCAAGTTCAAACCCCAGGGACCAACACACACATATACAAACACACTTCATATTTTTCACAAAATGTGGATATTACTGAGGCCTGGGAGTAGAGCTAATGTTTAGTTATACCAAAGCATCTGCACTGGCAGGACAGGTGATCTGGAGGGTCTCCATCTAAAATGGTTTCAGTTACAATTTTTTGGCATTATGATTGTGGGAAAGCTGTACATCCAGTGGTGAACTCTGATTGGCTCCTGAGCTAGCTGTGTGGCATGACACTCTGGCTAAGATGGCAGCAACAGACAGCCCAGCACCCAGCAGCAGGAGGGCATCCAATGCAACGCACTGCATCACGACACTAGGAAACATGGTAGGTGTAAGAAAGGATTCATCAAACCAAGGGCCTCTAACATGCTAAGCAAGCACTCTATGCCTGAACTGCATCCATAACCTCAATACTGCATGCATGTATCTTCCAATGGTCCTATTTTATAAAAGATAAGTGGTCTGGAATTCTATGTGAATACATGTTTGTGGTGTTGTTCCAGATTCCTAAATGGAGAGAACAGTGTCTGTCTGTCTGTCTGTCTGTCTGTCTGTCTGTCTGTCTGTCTGTCTATCTATCTATCTATCTATCTATCTATCTATCTGTCTGTCTGTCTGTCTGTTGCTGATCCTGGGCACCAGCCCTGAGCCTCAGTGCTCAAGGCTAGCTAGTGCTTTACCATTTGAGCCGCAGCCCCACTATCAATTTTGTTGGTAGTTCAGTGGAGATAAGTCTCACAGACTTTTCTACCAGGGCTGACTTCCAAATTTGAAGCATGATCCTCAGATCTCAGCCTCCTGATTACAGGCATGAGCCACCAGTGCCTGGCTCCGGAGACAGTTTATCCATTCTGTCAACAACTTCACTCTCACCTATTTCTCTTTCATCTGACCCTGTCTGAAAACCTCCAAATCTGTGTAGATTTGCTTTCTCCTGTCTTTGGCCTCTGCAGCAGAGTGGTGCTCCAGACAGGCCCTCAAGCATGGGCTGGTCCACACAACTGCCGTGCACGCCTGGTCCTCACAACTCAACATGTCTTCCCCAAGTGCCTCCTACCCGCCACTCTCAGACCACCGCAAGAGCTGTTTTGTGTTCCCCACCCCGGCTCGCAGCCTCCTCCTCGCAGTGAATCAGTGCACTTTTACTCACCCCACAGAGAAAACAAGGACTCCAACTGTAAGCCAGCCCTGTGAACATCCTCCCTCTGCACCTGCTCTGCCTGGACAGTGCTCCCGCCCCACACTGCCACTTCCGGCTCCTCTTCGGCCTGCGGACACAGGCAGGCTCAGGTGTCTCATGCTTCTCTTTTCTGGAATGTTAAAGGCTCATGGCCTTAGACTTTTTCTAAGTTCCCACAGTCTCCGTCTCCACTTGCGTTGTTTCTCTGCTTTGTCTTTAGGGCCCACAGTGGGTCCCCCCCTGGCTCCTAGCATTTGATCAATTCATCCAGCCTGAGAACTCTTTC